CATTGTTGCATTGAAGTTATGATTCCATTGGACATGTTGTGTACACTATAAACATTTCAATATGAATTGAGAGGGCCAGATATACCTCACAGCTATTTTTATGATTTGTTGTTGTTTTCTTCTTGTTTGGTATTTTTTCTAATCCTGTGGTTTTGTAGATTATTGCCCTGAGAAGAGCAAAGAGGAGGAATATGGAACGGTTGGTTTTGGCTTGTGGAGGGGAGGCTGTAAATTCAGTAGATGATTTAACTCCTGATTGCCTTGGTTGGGCTGGACTTGTATATGAGCATGTCCTTGGTGAAGAGAAGTATACATTTGTTGAAAATGTGAAGAACCCTCATTCTTGCACAATCTTAATCAAAGGTACTCCATTGGTAGTTTCACCTTATTTCTGTATATAATTTTTGCTTTTTTATTTTTGTAATTTATCTTGTGCCCATATCATGGTAATGCTTACATGATTTACATCGTTCTATTGCCTTTGGCAAGTCCTGTGGGGATGTAATCCTTATTGGCCACTTTTAATGGTGCAGGGCCTAATGACCATACAATCGCCCAGATTAAGGATGCTGTTCGTGATGGCCTGAGGGCAGTCAAAAATACAATTGAAGATGAAGCTGTCATCTTAGTAAGTTTGAGTTAGAAATTCCTAGGAAATCTTCTTATCATATTCTTATCTTTTTCCTTTTTGTTTTGAATTGTGCCGCCTTCTCCATGTTGTAATGCTTTGGGCATAAGTTTGGTTTCTGGTATACATATCAGCTTGTGATTTTTGTATGTTTCTCATATGTGTCTCAGGGTGCTGGAGCTTTTGAAGTTGCAGCCAGACAACATTTAGTAAATGAAGTAAAGAAAACTGTTCAAGGGGTAATTGAATATTTCCCTAAATTTTCTCATAGGAAATACTTTTAAGCACCTCATCTTTTCTCAGCCTTTATCTCTCTCTCACGTTGACATACTTGGAACAGCGAGCTCAACTTGGTGTTGAAGCTTTTGCTGATGCTCTCCTTGTGGTGCCCAAGACACTTGCTGAGAACTCTGGCCTTGACACACAAGATGTGATAATTGCTCTTACGGTATACTTCTTTGAAAGTTCTTCACGTTTTCATTTGGTTATCTTTCTTGAGGTGATCGAAAAATAATCACATATGTGGATGCTTGTTCAGGGAGAGCATGATCGGGGAAATGTCGTGGGATTAAATCACCACACTGGAGAACCCATTGACCCACAAATGGAGGGTATCTTTGACAACTACTCTGTGAAGCGACAAATTATAAACTCAGGGTACAGCGCATGATTGTAAAAAAGAATTCTTTATATTTTTCATTAATCCTTGATTATTTTTGTAAGCTTTTTCTGTTTTATATATCTCACTGGTGTTCGTTTATTCTAATGCAGACCTGTAATTGCATCTCAATTGTTGTTGGTTGATGAAGTAATTCGTGCTGGGCGCAACATGCGGAAGCCAACTTAGCTTCAGCGGATGCTTTTGGCTGGCTGAAGCTTCTCTTTTTGTATTCAGTGCAATGAATTGATTGAAAGTTGAAGCTTCTCTTTTTGTATTCATGTAACCGACTGAGGGCAGTTGTGTTGAGGATTGTTAGGGAATCCGTATTTGCATCTGCTGTGGAATTTTCTTATGAATGAGGAATTTGTGTAATATACATCTAGTTTGGCTGAATGTTTCGAGGTGTTCTTATTTTCCACTCCTTTTTTAGGTTGAATCGGTTCAACCAGGGTGGAGAAGAATTATATGACTTTGGTTGGGCCTGTGTCCTTTGAAATTTTAACTATTAATAGAATTTTCGAGTTATTGCTCTTTGTATTAATTATAGAATAATATACAACAAATAATGAATGGTTTCAATACTAATATCACCGATGCCAAGAGATAAATATAAATATATATATATATATATCACTATTCAAGGCTTTTCATAATTTAGACATCCACTGGAGAACCCCATCTATAACAATTAATTAGCCATGAAACAATTTTGCTAGTGTGTGTTTATATGTGTATTATAACTACATAATGCCAGTACTGGCCGGCAAAATTACTCGATGAAAATAGATCTGTATGAAATCTTTAGAAAATTCATAAGTTTCATTCGAAAATGCTTCATACACCACTCCTGTTCATTGGCTGAACCACAGAAGAAAACAAAATCATGCAACTTAAGAATTTGTGAAAATGTGAACCAAGTGATGATTAGCATATCCCCTTTGAATAAAAAAAATGTCGCCAGAATACGTGATAACAAAAAAATTCTACGACAATGCTCGGTTTCTGTTGAGAGGCATGAGCTCAGACTTTTGCAGACACTTTCCCATCTTGTTGAAGCATGTAGTCTCTCTTCATTTCCTCCAAGACGTCATCGTTAGTGCTGCAAAAATCAAAACAATGTGAGGATGCTTGCATATTCAATTATTAATCCTATAGGAAACAACATGTGTATATTTTCCTAAAGTCAACTCCAAATTCGTTCCTCTTACTCAAAGACTATAAGAAAGAGGTTGATGCAATAACAAGCAACAAAACAACATGCCCCACATCACTGCATTGACCATTCCTTCAGCTCTCTCTTCATGCTCTCTCAAGCAAATGCAAGAACAGATGGGATACTTTTCTTTTCTGTCCTACAACTAGAACATTTTCCTGTCTACCTACAATTGAGTGCCAAAATTTAACATTTGAAACGTAGGTTCAAACAGATTGCATAAGAAGTTGCCCTTGATGCCTCTACTGTTCCTATGGCTTGTGAACATTGCAATATTACGAAGCTAACCAGTTGAAAATTGGACTGAAAAACAATCCATGGAACACAGTGCCAAGCATTCTAATCTCACAAGGCCTCCAAAACACTCTGCAGTTTCCGTATTTCTGGTCCCTACAAACACTAGGAAAACCAAATGCAAACAACCCAAAAACTAAATGTAATTACAAAGTTTAAAGAAAAATGATCGGAAATGAATAAGGCAGATGATGCCATATCTATCCAAACCACACAACTCAGCCCTAAGGCAGATAATGCCTTACGAACTCAAACACTGCCACCATCTTTGCAGTATCTCATGATCTAAATACCACTCTACCACCTCAACTGCCTCCCACTTATGTAAACTATGACTAATATGATACATTAGGTCCATTTCTAAAAAGCAAGTCAAGACTAAACCAACACATAACAGATAGAGAGCTAAATAATTTCTTGAGTTAATACCAAACTAGCAAGCATCACAAGAAGTCTCGATAAAATATGATCAATTTTGCAAGTCTGCTACTCTCGATCGAAAACGGCTGCAAGAGCAAATCAACATTTATACAGACCAGTTTAAACAACACTTCTGTTGCTAACATTTAACTATGTGAAATTTATAAGACCCTGTTTTAAAATCTACAAAAAAAATTAAAATAAATTAATAATCTTTTCCATATTTGTTGTGAAAAATGAATGATCAGAGGGATATTAATAGACGAATTGGGGCTTACAATTGGTGAAGGCACTCGTTTAATTCCTTAGCTTGTTGCCGACACTGCCAAACCACAGAAATGGTTCTCCCATAAGAGCATTCCGCATACTTGGACGCCAAATCCTTGCATTCCTGCAACGCCTTCTGCTTCATTTTGCTCCGCAATGCTGTGCACCATTAATTTACAAACCAAATTACACAACTTTTGTAGCACAAAATAAAAAACAAAAAAGAAAAATAATAGTTCTTGAGCCCTAGCGTTTGAGCTTTGAATACATATATACCTTCTTCTACCTTCTTTTTCACGTGATTCTCACGTGCTTCCTGTATGTATCCCATTCAGCACTCTCTCTCTCTCTCTCTCTCTCTCTCTCTCTGATTCTCTCAAGCTCTTTGGGTCTCAGCCACTGAAGACGATGGAACTCGCTGCCGAGGATCGAGTATTGTTTCACAGTAACAAGAGTGGCTGATTGCTCACCGCCGGGTGAAAATATTAAATGTCAAGGTCTAACAGCTAGGGCTTTGGGCTCCATATGGGCTTTTTCGAGCCCATATTCTCACTGAATATAGCCCAATTTTTATTTTATTTTTTGGATTAAAAAATAAGTAATGGCAGATTATTGATTTATTTATCTTAAAACTATGGCTTTTGAATGGAGCTTAAATACTAAGGTAAATATCATGTGATTTTTTTTTTCTTTTGATGAATGGTGCACTATGGGGTTTAATTATTTTATTGTTCAATCAATTGGAGTATAGTTCAAGTACAATTTATGTATATATGTGTTATTTTCACATGTCTAGACAAAGTGTTGAAATGGCACCTAACATGGGATCTACTAAGGTTTTATTTTAAATAAAAATAAATTGGATACCAACTAAGCTAAGGACACAATTTGTGGTGTGATTAGTCTTGGTCTAACTGACCTATGATTGATCCCTAACCTTTTCAAATTGTGGTTGATATAAGGCCATACCAACATGGTTACCTTCTTTTGGTGAAGCCCTTGTGATTTGCCTTTGATTTGTTTGCTTGACTACATCCTCATATTAATTGGTTGGCTTGATTTGACAACATCCTCATATTAAGTTAGAGCTCATGAGCTTGTGTCTTGGATTTGCTTGATCATAACATACTAAAGTAGGAAATAAGAGCCAATGCGGTGACAAAAGTGTAAAATTACAAATATAATAAGTATGAAGGGAAGACACAGATTAGATCAGTTAGTCAGAACAGTGTATTTATCTCTTTACACGAAAGTTCGAGGCCGTTTCCATAAGGCAAAACTTTTATATTCGTCAAAAATGCGTATTTGACCTAATAAAGCAAGGCATTAAACTCACATTTCTTCTCCAAATGCCAATTATTGAACATTTGACTTAACTGGAAAGAAAAAGAAAAAAAAAACCGTCAGCAACAACACGTTAAACGGTGCGTGAATCTTGTTGCCCCGCATTAAAAAAGATTAAGAGTTTTGGACACCGTCATGTCCGTCCGTCAGGCCCACAAGACTCAACTTCACAACTCACAACGCACGCAGCAGCAATAATATCAACGACACGAGGACAATCAACGAAATGCAAGGTTAGGGATTGCGTTGACCGTCAACGCCAGCGTGGTCACTCCAAAACAAAGACTCCACGGAATCTCCGCCACCCACCACGTGTCTCGTTCCCATTGGACCTATCTCTCTCCCCTTCCTCGTCGCGACCATTTTTAAGCCCCCAACCGGATTCCTATCTTCCATTTTACGAGCTTAGATTAGATCTTCTTCCTTGTGGACCAGAAAGGTACGAAGCTACTTCTCTAGGGTTGGCTTAGGGTTCTTCTGATTTGATTTCAATTTTTATTTTTTCTTGTTGATCTACTGTGTTTATGATGACTGTTTGTCTGAGATCTAGGGTTACGATTTCTTTGTTCTTTTATTTGGGTGCTTATGGATGTATGTTTTGTGGTTGGATCTGGCTTGATTTAAGCTGTATATAGTTGGTTTGACCCAGGATCGATAAGATTCTAGTTATGGCTTGTTTGGTTTCTTCAATTTCAATATAAATGTGTTTTGAAAGAGAAATTTTTTATTAATTGGGGTTCAAAAAATAAAGCTTGGAAGTTCCTATTTCACTAAGTTGGGAGTGAGATTATTGCTGTATACTGATTTTGTGATAATAGAATTAGAATTCCTGATCTGTTTGGTTGCCACGAAATTCATGTAGGCCTGAAGTTAGCATTTAAATTTTTTTATTGTAGGTTTTGATGAAGTTATTATGTTTTTACCCAACTTTACATAATTGAACTATGGTATGAGTGTAAACTTCCACAGATCTGAGTAACCATTTGACAGTCTGATCCTCTCTTTCTAGTTTTGTATGTAACTAATATCATTTATGCTTTGATGTTTGGTTCTCTAGTGGATTATGTGATATGCTTGTCCTTGTGTATGCATGTAGATCATGCATTTAATTGACGTTTGTTGAATTAATACCCAGGTTTGATAATTATTTACACATAGCAAAGATGTCGCCAACTGATTCTTCACGTGAGGACAATGTGTACATGGCCAAGTTGGCCGAACAGGCTGAGCGCTATGAGGAAATGGTTGAATTTATGGAAAAAGTTGCAAAGACCGTTGATGTCGAGGAACTAACTGTGGAGGAAAGAAACCTCCTTTCTGTTGCCTATAAGAATGTGATTGGAGCTAGGAGAGCTTCGTGGAGAATCATTTCTTCCATTGAGCAGAAGGAGGAAAGCAGGGGTAATGAGGATCATGTTGCAATTATCAAGGAATATAGGAGCAAGATCGAGACCGAGCTGAGCAAGATCTGTGATGGTATCTTGAATCTTCTTGAGTCACACCTCATTCCATCTGCCTCATCTGCTGAGTCCAAGGTCTTCTATTTGAAGATGAAAGGTGATTACCACAGGTACCTTGCTGAATTTAAGACTGGAGGCGAGAGAAAGGAAGCAGCTGAGAGCACCTTGTTGGCTTACAAGTCTGCTCAGGTTGGTTTCAGCTTGCCATTCTGCCAGTTTCAGTTTTTAATTGTTTTGTCTGTTTTGTGGAGATCGTGAAGCTTATTTTGTGTTATTTGATGCAGGACATTGCCCTTGCTGAGCTGGCTCCAACCCACCCAATAAGGCTTGGGCTTGCACTTAACTTCTCAGTCTTTTACTATGAAATCCTTAACTCACCAGACCGTGCTTGCAATCTGGCAAAACAGGTTTATTTTCAAGGCTTTATACTTACTATTTATTTTCTGTTTTTCTGTTTCTGTGTATGATTGTTTACATGATTGCATCCTAGTCTCTGTAGTCTGGCCTAATTTTTTCAATGGTTGTTGATTACATAGGCGTTCAATATCCATCGTGTTTTTTTCTTTCTAGTTTACATGTTCCTTTATGAAAATTCTAGGTCCCAATGATGGATTTTTAGTGCAGCTGGCATTTGCTTGATCGATGAGAAATTTTTTTTCCTAAAGGCAATTGGTTGCAACTTTCTTTGAGAATGTTAGGTGGTCTATAAGTTTTGGAAAAGCCTTTGTTGTACTCTGCTTTTTCTGGTTATATCTCTTGAGAAATGCTGAATAGTTGTCCATTAAGCACTACAAGAAATGCTCTCTCACCCCCGAGAACACCGCCCATCAGATTTTTACCACTTTCAGAATAATGATTAATGTATTTGGACAAGAGTTGGCGTGTAGTGAATATACAATCTGGATGTGAACTTTTGAGACATGCTCTATTTTGTAATTTTACTACACAAATTAGCTATCATGTTCTATTTTGTATTTTGACATGCTCTATTATCTGTATGTGAATGCTATGCGTTATCTTACTTGAGGGGGGGTTGTTTAGCCATTCTGGAGTTCACCATATGAAGTTATATGTGTTTTACTTTCTAACATCAAGTTCTTAAATGAAATTGTCTTTACACTTTGGTAAGTGTTAAAATAATAGTCAGAATTGGTTGTTTAATGTATTCCTTTTTACCTTGTACTTCATTGCTCAGGCTTTCGATGAGGCTATTTCCGAGCTTGACACATTGGGTGAGGAATCATACAAGGACAGTACTTTGATCATGCAACTTCTCCGAGACAATCTGACACTCTGGACTTCCGATATCACGGTATCTCTCTCTCTCTCTCTCTCTCTCTCTCTCTCTCTCTCTCTC